AAGAACAATTCACGATGTCACCTTTGAACCGCGTACAACCTCCCAACATCATCGCATCTCATTTGACGGTCAAAGCCACGAAAATATTAAAGCAGCTTAAATCAACCTAAATTCCTTCCCAATGGGACTTTTCAACAAAGATTTAGTGCTCGCCACGAAGTTTCCCCAAAGAAAAAAGTGGAAGAACTGCCTAATTTGTCTTCTTATCAGCTTGATTTATCTGCTGATAGATTTCTTGAATCCTCCTCTAAGCCTTGGCACTGACCCATGATTGTGAGAAACCATCAGCAAATAGAGACCCACAATTGCTTTGACAAAATGAAAATATACTGCATACACTCAAAAAGTTAAAAAAAAAGGTTTAAGAGAATCCTCGGGAGAATAAAAGCTAAAAACCTCGCTGATTTATAGACACTTGTTTAATCTTAAAGTAAAATCCTCTGCCTCTGCTTCTGACACAAGGCCAACGTGAGGGAAAACTTACTCCTTAGCGAAAAGAACTGCATACACGCAGTGGTGGGATTCAAATAGGTGAACAACCGGTTCTCTGCGTGGATGCCACTTCCGGAAATCCATTCTGGGCAACAAAAAATTGGCTACCGGTTCTGCCGAAGTGGTGCGAACCGGCTGAATCCTACCAAAGGAAGGAAGGAAGGAAGGAAGGAGTGCTGGGATTCAGATAGGTGAACAACCGGTTCTCTGCGTGGATGCCACTTCCGGAAATCCATTCTGGGCAACAAAAAATTGGCTACCGGTTCTGCCGAAGTGGTGCGAACCGGCTGAATCCTACCACAGGAAAGAAGGAAGGAAGGAAGGAAGGAAGGAAGGAAGGAAGGAAGGAAGGAAGGAGTGCTGGGATTCAAATATGTGAACAACCGGTTTTCTGCGTGGATGCCGCTTCCGGAAGTCCATTCTGGACCTGCTGGGCAACAAAAAATTGGCTACTGGTTCTGCCGAAGTGGTGCGAACCGGTTGAATCCCACCACTGCACAAACGTCTATCTTACACGTGGTTCTCACAACCAGGGCTTTTTTTCAGCCGGAACGCGGCGGAACCGCGTTCCGGCACCTTTTTCCGGGCCGGCCGCACCGGAAATAGCCCCTCCCAAATTTTACTTGCATTCCTGTTCTCTAAAGGGGCGGTCCTAGGGTTTGATGAGGGCGTGGCCAGGTTTGAGTTCCGCCACCTTTTCTCCGAGAAAAAAAGCCCTGCTCACAACAGACCTGCTTCGTCAGCAGCACAGCGCACAACAAGGGCTCCAGAACGGTGCAGGAAGTCCTCAACGAAGAACAATTCATTTAGTGACTGTTTGAAGTTACAAGGGGCACTGAAAAAGCGAGTGACAACCATTTTTCACACTCAGGACCGCTGCCGCATCCCCGTGGGTCACGGGATCAACATTCGACCGCTTGTCAACTGACTCATATTTAGGACGGTTGCGGAGTCCCACGGAGTTGTGTGATCCCCTTTTGCGACCTTCCGTCAAGGGGGGGAAGCTGGAGTCACTTCACAACCATGTCACCGACTTATCCACTGCAGCGACTCGCTTAGCAACTGTGGCAAGCCAGGTCGTAAAGTGGGGCAAAACTCACTTAGCAACCGTCTCGCTTAGCAACAGAAATTTCGGGCTGAATCCTTGTCGAGGGTTACCTTATTTCATGTAGACAGGGGAGGTTCTCAAACGAGCATTATAGCCTTCGGGGACCACCCGGATGTCCCCTCCAGATGGCACAACAGAAGAAACTGAACAGACACGAGAGATTGTGTGATGGCAGTGATTGACAGGACGGCACTGTTCCAATATTTGAGGAGGGGGGGTCCACTTGTTCCCCAAAGCCCCTGAAGGCAGGACAAGAAGCAACAGATGGAAAAGGAACCAAAGAGAGAAGCAACCTGGAACGAAGGAGGAATTTCCTGACTGTGAGAACAATTGATCGGTGGAACAGCTTGCCACCAGAAATTGTGGGTGCTCCAACACTGGAGGTTTTTAAGAAGAGACTGGACAGGCATTGGTCTGAAATGGTGTAGGGTCTCCTGCTTGAGCAGGGGGTTGGACTAGATGACCTCCAAGGTCCCTTCCAACTCGGCTATTCTATGATTCTGTAAGGGTCTCCTGCTTGAGCAGGGGTTGGACTAGAAGACCTCCAGGGTCCCTTCCAACTCTGTTATTCTATGATTCTGTAAGGGTCTCCTGCTTGAGCAGGGGGTTGGACTAGAAGACCTCCAAGATCCCTTCCAACTCTGTTATTCTATTATTCTGTCAGGGTCTCCTGCTTAAGCAGGGGGCTGGACTAGAAGACCTCCAGGGTCACTTCCAACTCTGTTATTCTATGATTCTGTCAGGGTCTCCTGCTTGAGCAGGGGGCTGGACTAGAAGACCTCCAAGGTCCCTTCCAGCAATGTTCTTCTATGATTCTGTAAGAGTCTCCTGCTTAAGCAGGGGGCTGGACTAGAAGACCTCCAGGGTCCCTTCCAGCAATATTATTCTATGATACTATAAGGATCTCCTGCTTGAGCAGGGGGTTGGACTAGAAGACCTCCAGGGTCCCTTCCAACTCTGTTATTCTATGATTCTGTCAGGATCTCCTGCTTGAGTAGGGGGCTGGACTAGAAGACCTCCAGGGTCCCTTCCAGCAATGTTACTCTATGATTCTGTAAGGGTCTCCTGCTTGAGCAGGGGGCTGGACTAGAAGACCTCCAGGATCCCTTCCCACTCTTCTATGATTCTGTTGTTTTGCCTCACATTTCCTCCACGGCAGCCTGATGTTGATTCTATCCTGGTCTCATCTACTAGCAGGGGGAAAAAAAAAAGATAATAATAAGCCACAGGCTGGCTGAGGATTTTGCCGGCGTGGGCCCAATCCAGAAGCTGGCGTGAATTTGCCAGCAGTCGGAGGAAATTAAAAGGGGAGGATGTGTGTTCTTCCTTCAATAAAAGTTGTTTACAGACAAAATGTCCCCCAGCAGCCGCAGATGAGTTTTCGCAGACCGCCTCCACCCAGCCCGGTTGCTCCCACACTGACATTTTGCACAAAAAAAATAAAAAACACGTTGCCAAGGAAACCGGGCGACCTCGTGAAATTGGTACTACCGAGTCTCTCCAGACGTGGGAGGAAAAGGGACTCGGGTGCCAAGGAAGTGGAAGAACCGATGCCCAGCTGCAGATCGGAGGGCAGAGCGTTGCTAAATGTCCGCGGAGGGCTAAACCCCCCCCCCCGACTTGTGTTATGATTTGGGTAGCATAAAAGAGCCTTTTTATTCCAAGAAAGTGACCTTCAAAAATTCTTCTCTGACCTGTCGGTAAACAGGCTTTACCATATCCCAAAGGACGGACTCGTCCCCCAACCTGATCTACTGGAAGTTCCAGGGAAGGTTGAAATGATAATAATAATAATAATAATAATAATAATAATAATAATAATAATAATAATAATAATAATAATAATAATAATAATAATAATATTTAAAAGCTCAGAGGTTCCTATTTTTTCCCCGCCTCTCGGCTCTCACTACAAAAGCTACCGTTTGCCAGTGGGAGTGGGTGAGAAGGACGACTTGCCATTTTTCCATTCTGGGAAGCCCAACTTCGACAAAGAAGCTGAAGCTCAGCGGCCTGGCCGTACAAGCAATTGGAACGTTGGGACCTGGGAGGTCATCTAGTCCAACCCCCTGCTCAAGCAGGAGAGCCTCCACCGGTTCAGACAAAGGACGGTCCGGTCTCTTCTTAAAAACCTCCAGCGATGGAGCACCCGCAACTTCTGGAGGCCAGGTCTTCAGAATTGGAAGGGACCTTGGAGGTCTTCTAGTCCAGCCCCCTGCTCAAGCAGGAGACCCCCCTACCGTTTCAGACAAACGACGGTCCAGTCTCTTCTTAAAAACCTCCAGTGTTGGAGCACCCACCACTTCTAAATGTATCACACCCTTTAACAGAATGACAGAGCTGGGAGGGACCTTGGAGGTCTTCTAGTCCAGCCCCCTGCTCAAGCAGGAGACCTTAGACCATTTCAGACAGGGATGAGCGATGGCCATATCTAATCAAGGAGAGAAGCAACCTAGAGCTAAGGAGAAACTTCCTGATAGTTGGAACAATTAACCAGTGGAACCACCTGCCTCCAGAAGCGATGAATGCTCCAACACTGGAAGTTTTTAAGAAGAGGCTGGACAGCCATTTGTCTGAAATGGTATAGGGTTTCCTGCCTGAGCAGGGGGCTGGACTAGATGACCTCCAAGGTCCCTTTCAACTCTGCTATTCTATTCTATTCTATTCTATTCTAATTTCTATTCTATTCTATTCTATTCTATTCATTCTCTATTCTATTCTAATTTCTATTCTATTCTAATTTCTATTCTATTCTATTCTAATTTCTATTCTATTCTAATTTCTATTCTATTCTAATTTCTATTCTAATTTCTATTCTATTATATTCATTCTATTCATTCTCTATTCTATTCTAATTTCTATTCTATTCTATTCTAATTTCTATTCTAATTTCTATTCTATTATATTCATTCTATTCATTCTCTATTCTATTCTAATTTCTATTCTATTCTATTCTAATTTCTATTCTAATTTCTATTCTATTCTATTCTATTCTATTCTATTCTATTCTATTCTATTCTATTCCACTCCACTCCACTCCACTCCTCTATTCTATTCTATTCTATTCTATTCTATTCTATTCTATTCTATTCTATTCTATTCTATTCTATTCTTGATTGGACGTGCATGATCAAAACCCTGCCCTTTTTATGGGTGGGGCAATGCATATTAAAAAGGGGCGGTCCTTCATCCATGTTAGTGAGACCGCCATCTTTCCCCCCCCTCTAATTCCTTCCTCCCGTCCGATAATACAGTACTATAATAGATTATGGTCCTAACTGAGGTTGTAATTTGTGGATTACATACGCCAGAAATCATTTTGGATGCTTGGTTAGGTCAGCATAAGATTAAGGGACGCCATGGAAAGGGAAAGATAGGAAAAGAGACGGAAGGTCCTTACTCTCAGAGTCGCTGATGCTGGCGCTGCTCCGCCTCTTCATCTTCTCCAGATGTTCCTCGTATTGGAAGTGCCGCTCCTTCACGGGGGAAGAGAAGTCCTCCATCACCGCGTCAAACTCACCCAGAACCTCCGCCAGTTCTCCACCATCTTCTGACAAATCTGCCAAACCAGAAGACAGAAGCGTTTCATCCTAGCACTGGCCTACAGCTGAGATAATATCAGAATAACCGAGCTGGAAGGGAACCTTGGAGGTCTTCTAGTCCAACCCCCTGCTCAAGCAGGAGATCCTACAACCGTTCTGGACAGGGCACTGTCCAATCTCTTCTGAGAAACCCCCCCCCCCAGGGTTGGAGCACCCACAACTTCTGAAGGCGAGATTCTCCAGTCATCCAGGTCAACGGTGGTCCCAAAGATGGTTTTTTTCATGAGGCAACTGGACTTCCTTGTTTTTCTTTGAAGACATTTTGGTTCTCGTCCAAGAAGCTTCTTCAGGATACGGCATCACAGTCTGGTTTGGAAGCATCCCTGCTTCGGACAGGAAGGCGGTGCAGAGAGTGGTGAGGATGGCAGAAAAGATCATTGGCAGCTCCCTCCCTCCCATCCAGGACATGGCACAGAAGCGTTGCTTAAGCAGGGTCCGTAAGATTATCTGGGACGCCACACATCCTCTTCACAACCTGTTTTCCTTGTTCCCTTCTGGGCTTCGTGGTATCCGTAGCAGAACATCCAGATTCAGCCATAGTTTCATTCCATACAGCATTAACCGTGTGATCTCTCAAGCTTCCTCCTTCCGTTACGTATCCAAGATGGACAGTATTTCATATTTATTTGTTAGGTATATGTAGGGGTGTGGGTCTATACATATGTTGTACATAGTATGTTTTAGGTGTGTGCCATGTATGTGTTTCACTTTGAACGCGGGCAACTAAATTTCATTTTTGATGTGTGCCCACTGTAAAAAAAAATGACAATAAAGGTTATCGTCTTATCTCTGACTGGATGGTGAGGAACGGCAGGATTTATACTCCTTGCAGACAGCTAGTCATTTGCGTCCTTTGAGAGAGTCGTTGAGGCCACCTGGAGGTTTATCTGTGTCCTCATGGGACTTTCTTATTATTCTTTGAAGACGTTTCCCTTCTCATCCCAGAAGCTTCTTCAGCTCTGACTGAACGGTGGGGAACGGAAAGATTTATACTCCTTGCAGACAGCTGGTCATTTGCTTCTTTCAGAGACTCATTGAGGCCACTTGGAGGTTTACCTGTGCCCTCGGGGTCACCTGAGTGGTGCAAATGGCTGTGGAGCCTTCTTGGCTACAGGATGTGACCCTTCACTATTGGAGACAAGCGGAGGCTGTTGGGGATGTGTCTGTGTTGTCTGCATCTCCATCTGAAGCGCAAATGGTTCCTGGAGTCCGCAACGTTTTCTGGAAATCCGTTCCTACTCCGGCAGCACCCTTCAAAGGGGGTTCATCCCAAAGTGCACGGCTAAATGTCTACGGAGATTCTCAGTCCTCCAGCTCCTGGTTGTCCCAAAGATGCTTTTTCAGGAGGCAACGTCCGAGCGATGTTCTCTGTGGCTGTACGTTCACACCAGCTGAACACCTGAGGCCAAGACCTCTTGGTTGCCTCCCCACAAGCCTGCTCAGATGCAACTAGGTGTGCCTCAAGCTCTCAGGTGTGACCACACAGCCAAGATCTAAGGCTAGGAAGCCCCTTCTCAGCCTCCAAGGGAACCTGCCTCCAGAAGCTGTGAATGCTCCAACACTGGAAGTTTTTAAGAAGAGACTGGACAGCTAGGGTTTCCTGCCTGAGCAGGGGGTTGGACTAGATGACCTCCAAGGTACCTTCTGAGTCTGTTATTCTGTTATTCTTTTCCTTCCTTCCTTCCTTCCTTCCTTCCTCCCTCCCTCCCTCCCTTCTCCAACACTGGAGGTTTTTAAGAAGAGACTGGACAGCCATTTGTCCGAAATGGTATTATAGGGTTTCCTGCCTGAGCAGGGGGTTGGACTAGATGACCTCCAAGGTCCCTTCTGAGTC